ACATAAGAGATGTCTGGAAATTATGACACTGCTTCATCAGAAGATGTGTCGAATTATCTACTTTCCAGCTCTTTAAGGTAACGGAATCAGTTAAAGCGCGCTGCCCCGGAGGTAGGCGGTAGAATGTGAGAAAAAGCTGAAGTATGTCTGATGCCATGTTAACATTGTCCTCGTCAGAGTCAGAAAGCCTTCACACTTAGTCCTGGAGAGGTGTGTTGGTTATCATCCCTAGGCTGATAGACTCGACCGCGATCGGAACAGGATCCTGACCGTGCGGGTTCGTTAATATTGCTATGAAAAATTTAAATACACCTAAAATTTTAACACGATTTCAAATAACTAAAAATACTTAAAATTTTATTGGTAACGGTAACGTATAATACTATGTTTGTAGACAGATAAAATTAAAGATGAATTAAAAAAAAATTTTCCGAACATTTACAAGCTGTATATCAGCGATGCTTTGATTGTAGAATAAGTGAAGATAAAAAATACTAGTTACTATCTGCTCTTTGCAATAGTTGCAAAATAATGCTAGATTGGCACAGGATATAGGGAGCTAGAATCAAGTTCTCATGTCCAATCATATGGCAGGAGCTCACAAGTAGGGATGACTGCTATTTTTGCATGACCCACACTATCGGTTTCAGTTAATCCTTTTTAGGTAAAATACAGTATGCAGAAGTGTTAAGTGTCATAAAAGCATCATTTAAGTATGTTGCAGTCGATATAAAAGTAAATGAAGAAGCTAAAATAGATAAAGTTAATTTAACAGATGATGTGGGAAGTGAAGCAAAAACTAGTGATACAGCAAATCATCATGAAGATGAAAATTTACCAAGGAAAACGGATACTTCCCCCAAACTCTTTAAGCAACACGATCTAAATAATTTTATCAGAGAGCTTGGATTGCCAAAGGATGGAGTGAAATTGTTAGCTTCAAGACTAAAAAAAAGAAATATGCTATCTAGATAAACAAGAGTCACATTTTATCATAATAGAGGAGAAGCGTTCCAGAAGTACTCCAGCAGGGAAAAAGACTTGGTGTACTGTAGTTATACTTATGGCCTAATGAATAAGATGAAAAAAATACATACAAAGCCAATGATTGGATATTGTTCATGAATTCCTTGAAACAAAGCTTCAAAGCCGTGTTGTTACATAATACAAATATATATGCTCTAGTACCTATAGCTCAATCAGTAAAAATTAAAAAAAGCATATAAATATTGATATAGTTTTAGAGAAGATTAAATATGCTGAACATAATTGGCATATTCGTGGAAATCTCAAGATCCTCACAATGATTCTGGACCAGCAACCGGTTTTACGAAGTTTTCATGTTTCCTATGGTTGTGGTACAGTCAGAATCGTGCTTATCATTACACCAAAACAGATTGGCCAGCTCGGGATTTAATGAAAACTGAGTCTCACAACGTCATTTGTAAACCATTAGTTGAACCGCTAAAGATTGATTTTCTTTTTTTTTTGCACATTACTCTTAGGTTAATGAAATAATTTGTAAAAGGATTGGACAAGAAAGGACAATGTTTTGCTTATTTGGTCGAACAATGTTTAGCTTTATCTTGCGCAAAAATTAATAAAGGTATCTTTGATGGGCCTTAAATTCGTAAGTTGTTAAAAAATAAATTGTTCGTTGATTCTATGAATAAGAAAGAAGGAGCTGCATGGCTACGCTTTAACGTGATTAAAAACTTTTTGGGAAACCACAAAAGTAAAAACTGTAGAAACGAGTTACAACGTACAGTTTCTTGACTCTCTTCTTCATGACTTATCGCAAAATCTGAAGGATTATAGGGATAAGCAAGGGAAACATTTTTATTAAGATATAAAGGAAATGGAAAGACGTTATCAGAGTGTCATGAATGTAAATGCGATGGTTGACTACTGTTGGGCGTTAATAAGAGAGAATTTACAATGCTTAGTAACGTTAACGTTAACCACTTTGTAGATCATTCGAGGAGAAAAGAGTTCGAAAAAGCTGATCACTATAAAGCTTTTTTTTTATCGGTGTTAAGCTGCAGAGAGAAACAAAGTTATATTTGCTTATTGAAATATACCTGAAATTCCTTTATTGTTCGTATAAAGTCTTCCCAATAATCAGGGTTTTCGGTTTATGGAGTTTTGGGGTTGCAGAATTCAGGAGTTAAATGATTAAGGGATTATAGAGGCAAGGGACCCATGACTCTAAGAACATATAGTACACATATTTTTTTCTCAGACCAAAGCAAAAAATTTTTTGACACTTACATATAGCAGCCTTTACTAGTAGGTTTATTGAGGTTATGAATAAAAACAGATAAGATGAAGCTATTTACACCTCAGATCTGAATGTAGTGACCCCAATAACATATTGTGAACTCTTCTAACCACAGCATACATTTTTGTACGCTTTTTGTAGCCTATACCACAGATTTTTAATATTATAGATAAATGCAGACCAGATAAAGCTATTCAGATATTCAATTCGAATTTAGCAACCGCAAAAACGTATAGTAAATATTATTGGATCCCCAGGTTAGAAATTTTTTGTTGTGGTGCTGTGAAATGTTATTTCATGATTTCGGTGAATTCTGAGGCGTTTCTTGAGGTTAGGAGAAAATCCTGACGTCTACACTTAACAGTTTACGGATTCAGGTTCAGAGGACAAAGTACAAAGCAACATGGTTGTAGCATTAATGGTGGAGGAAGAAATTTTTGTTGTTGTCCTGTTTAATTTGTAAAGGTTAAAAACAGAGAAAAGAACAATAATTTTGTAGGTGTTTACGGTTCCAGTGCAATTTTTGTTTACCTGCGTATAATTTCGATTGACAAATTTTTTAATAGCTTTTAGGTCAGTTTTAGGGATGACTGAATCATTAAAAAAATGCGTTTTAACATGTATACTTATAATTCTCATTTGACAATGAAAAATAAGAAACTACGGTTTTTTTAACTATAGATTAATCGATAACGATTTAAATTACTACTTTTGATAACAATGCATTGTGCGAATATAAGTGTAGCTTATAAACAAGTGCAACGCGTAGCAAACATGTCAATACACTCATAACATGAGTTATCATTATAGGTTCCATTGTAAAAATTGAAGTGACACTTCCTTGCACTATTCATATTTCATTTTTGTTAGAAACTATTATCTATCAGTTTTTTTGTCCACCTTTTGAAGTAGAGTCAGTGACGTTAAATTACTCAGGACTTCTGTTTCAGGAGAAAATTGATATTCGTACGAAATTTAATCAGTATGTAAGGGCATAAAATAGTTTTAACATGGTTAGAAAATACAACTGTAGTTATGACTATTTGGTGCATGCAAAAATGTTGTAATACTATCTAGTTTTTAGTTTTAGGAATGATGGACAGAAATTTTGTCGTTGAAAACAAAAAGTCGAAATTTTCTTAGGATGATCTCATACAATTGAAATTTAAAAAGAAGACACAAGAAAAAAACATTTATCAGATGGTAAGGTGAAACGATGATAGTTATGATTATTTCAGTAAACGTTAACATTTTGTAATTGTATTTTGCTTCCGATTTCCAAGAATGTTGAGCAAAAATACAGTCATAGAAAGAAAAAAGTTAACATTGAGTCTTATGCGTAAGCCTAGCTTAAACCTACTATAAACGTGTGGCCAGAGCACAAGTACTAATTTGCTTCGACCTTTCCAGTTTCTATACAAGATTAACGTAAGTCTTAGGTATGCATATTTCTGAAGCGTTTGTATAACATCAGACCTGCGTAGCTGTGGACGTAGGCTACATGTGGTTGTCATTGCCACTGTGTATGTCTATGTTACTACAGCGTATTTTTTACTACCAGGACTAATCAGGGCTGTGATATCTCAGAAACCCCAATGACTGTTAGAAAAATTTAAGGCTTATAACTTTTTATTTAGCACTTTCGTGCATTGTGTACTGTACTGTACCATGCTTTTTAATGTTTATTGAGGTAAATATCGATGCCTTGCAATAGAACTTCCATAGTTTTCATGACACCAGTTAGACCGTTGCACTACCAACTTCGCTTACGTGCAAACACATTCATAAGCGCAATGAAAATAACACACGCTCTATATCACACTAAGTGGCATGAATATTAATGTATACACTATAACAACACAGGAGAAATTTTCGTGTAGTTTTTATCAAAACATTGATAAGACTAGTTAGTTTAGAACTGTAAGAAATTTGTCCCATGATTTTTGTAATAAGAAAATATAAATGTCGTTTTAAAATAGTTGAATTTTATAAAGCTTACTAAGAAATTTGATTATTGTATATGATTATTATGTAATATGTATGCAGAAGGATAAAAAAAAAGTCCATAGAGTTATACTATGACTTATGGCATAACACAAAAATGTATTCAATTGGAAAGACGCAAAACAGTTATTTAATGTAAAAGTACCAATAGAACAGTTTTTGACTAGAATTATATAATGCAATACAAATTTAAGTTTTTTGTCACTTATGTAATAAACTTTCACAGACTTTCTTTTTTATATTAGTTTGAATACATTTTTATAAAATATTGTTAGATCTTAAAATTAAAACTAAATTACTTTTAATAAGAAATAAAATAATTTGAAAATGACATGATATAATATTATTTCAACATCAACATTTTCATGAATACCATATTTTTAATACCACCTGTACAAATAAGAAAATACTAGTGCACATTTTAATACTTAATTCTTCGAAAAACCTTCTATGGAACTCAAACACCGCGAAAAAATTATTTTTAATCGTATAAATGTTTCTTAATTTAAAAAATAAATCATTGTAGCACTTTACTACTCAAGCATAAAAGCATTTTTACTAAAATTGGTTTATTAAGTTATAGAAATCCTTTTACTTGACATTTTTTAAGAAGAAAATTCGAACTTTTATTAAACAGTGCTATTTTACTTTTTTTTACGGACTTACACTTCGAAAAGTCCATAAAGTTTCTAAGTTATGCCATGCACATAATCTTTATACTTCAGACTGATACTTGTCTAATGTTTTCATAAAATTTGGTACTTTGCTAAGCAATAACCTACTAACGGATAATTATCGTAAGGTACAACTCATTTTCCATGACTTTTTGACGATTTCTGCTGTTTCAATTGGTGTTATATTTCTCATTTTCATTGTTTCTCATTTCTCTCACTGTCTTGATGATCATACATGGTTGAAGGAGTTTTTGGCGTAATAAGTGACCCTTAAAAAAAAAAGACTACTTATAATTAAAGTCTTAGCAAAACTTTCAAAATAATTTGCTTACATGTTCAATTTTGTAAATGCAATTTTAAAATAGTAACTTTTTGAATTTATTTGAAGTAATACACTATGTACTAAAAAATAATTACCTAAATGTCAGTGAGCATTAAGAAACTCTAATATTTTCTGATTTTTCCTAGATTTACACCTATAGTGGCTCATTTTATCAATGTGCCTGAAAAACCAACAGGGTTCTATAAAAAACTGAAAACAAAAGTTTATTTCGTCAATTACTCTCAAACAGTATAAGATTAAAAAAAAATAAAAAATTCAGTATGTCTACCGGAAAGTTTTTTTATCAATTAGCTATCTTCATTTTTTCAGCCTTACTTTACATTTTGAGATGAAATAGTATATTACGTACCAAGGGACTAAAGCAAGCCAGTTCGTGGCTGTTGTAGTGTGCGCCCGAGCGTAGCGAGGGCGCTACAAGCAATAGCCACTCGCTGGCTTGCTTTAGTCTCGCGGTGCGTATACACTTTTATATCACACTCAGTGGAAAGTTCGTTACATTGAGAGGGAGAGAGATAGAAGGAAAACAAGCCATTCATTGTGTGGTTATAGGTTATATCACAAGAGTTTTTATAATTGTTTCCGATTGTGATATTTAGGATATTCCTGTATTTTTGTATAAAATATGGCAACAGTTTCGACAGTCATGTTTGAAGAGGATTCTTCTGACGAAGAAAACTTTAACGAGGATAAAGTAGGGGAAGGAAGAGACTTTGACTGTGAACGAAATGCCATTGTTCAAAATTTACTTCCCATAAAATCGAGAGCATTATATGAATATGCATACGCTCGATTCTTACAATGGAAGCATAAGAACAAGGACCTAATTATTTAACTCTTTTAATGAATGTGTTTCGAAATGTAATAATTTCAATAGTTTATTATACAAGATTGATAAAAATGAAGAACTGTAAAAATGCAGTTATTATTTAAAAATGTGTGAACAAAGAAAATTGTATAACAATTTTAATTATTTCCATTTGTTCAGAATCTCATGTTTTTTTTTGTATAAAATACACCAGCAAACAGTACATTGGCTTCTTTTATCTTGTTGATATTTCCCAAATTTGTTTGTTTACTGCAGTGTGGCGCCCTCGCTATGTTCGAGCACCGAACTACTTCAGGCACTTATTGGTTTATGTATATAGTAATATACAGTAAGATATAGATACGCATGCGTACACGCACTTATTACACAGTTTCTGTCCCTGTATACAGGGAGAACAGTACGAACTTTACGCTTAGTGTGATGTAAAATAAATTATGTTTTTTCGTCAAAAATTACAAGCATGAGTGCGACGGAGGGAGCGTCAACCAAGTAGTTTTCTCGTTACGTTAACATGCCGCATCAAAGAAAAGAAGGAGAAAAAGCCGTATATATATATATAGCTGTACACGTAGCATACTATGTCTTATATGTGATATGGACCTATACATACCTCAAGCTCAGGCAAAAGTCAGCAGTGCCAGCCGAAATAAATTTTTTGACTTTCAGATCAAAAATTATACTTGGGCGCGCGGTGGCTCAGTCGGCTAGGTCGTGGATCGGCATGCGGGAGGGAGACCGTGGTTTGATTCCCGGCCATAGTGCGACTTTCGGGCAAGTACCTCTGTGATAATTCACATGTGCTTTTTCACCACGCAATGCTCCTCGAGGAGGGTTTAGGCGACCTCCTCGCAGCATAGTTGCCTAATTTCCCCCTACCCCCCTCCCAGTAATGGAAGGCCTCCCATCCCTCTTCCCTTCCTTCTTTCAAGTGCTAAGTGCCCTGTGTAGTGCCCTTTATAGGAGCCGGACGTAAAGCACTATAATATATATAAAAAAAAAAAAAAGACGCTTTTCAAAGGGAGGAAAACAGCACGACGACATTATTGTAGACAGTACAGAGCCCTAAAAACTCAGCCAGACATATGACGTGCATGTCTCTCTCAACAGCGGGTGGGCATTAACCAAAGGCCAAAGTTTCTAATCTCAGTAATATAATCCAAAGGCGTATCATTTATTGTGATTTAAGGTAACTGTGACAAATGAAATTATGGCTGTCCAGAATCATAATTTTAGTATTGATAAGATTAAGGCATAGAAAATTATTAGAGGCCCAGTGATAGATGACCCCTATACTATGTCACGACCAACCCTCAGTTTTCTCCTTTGTAAGTCACTGTAATAGCAAGTACCATATATTTGAAAATCATCAACATAGGTCACATGAGAACAGTACTGCAAAACAAATGAAGGCCATGTTTAAATTTAACACTGTAAATACATCAAAGTAACAAAGTCTTGTCTAAATTTCTTAAAAAAGCAATTTTTTCTTATTCTCATTATTTTTTTAGTTCTATGAAAGAATTGGTAGGTGCTCAGTTCATTCTGAAAGCATATTTAAATTACATGACTTGATGTACGTACAAAAAAAAAAGTATATTTCATTACAGATTTTTCTTATGTCAAGATAAAAAAATTATTTTGCCTAATTGTAGGAACTTTTCAGCTTCTCAGAAAAAACTAGAAGGTTCTAGATTAATCCTTAAACCCTATCCAAATCTAGTGATTTAAAACATACAAAAGAAATAAAATAAGTTAATTGTAAAATCTTTTTTCTAAAAACATATTTTAAAATCGACTTTGCCTCATCCTATTATTATTTTGCCGTTTTTGTTATAAAAATATTTTTTTTAAAAGTACAATACAATTTTTATATTATTTTTTATTTAAAATGAGGAATTTTTGTAAAAACTATCAAGTTTTTACGTATCTTATTGTCTATTATTATTGTTATTAACTAATGTTACAAAAATTATTTCAGAAAATTCGCCGAAAGATGACATTTAAAAAAATGTAAGTTCATTCAAGGAATATAATAGTTACGACAGCAAACTTCAGTTTGCTTTATTATATGTTGAGATTAAGGACTGCCATAGATACATACACGTACTCTCTC